TACACTCGCGACCATCCAATACGACTGACCGACAAATATCGTACACCAGAGACCATAGAACCCGATCGCGACGGAAATGTTTTGGTTTTTAATACAATTGATTTTGATATTGTTTTTGACAAATAATAAGTTTTTATATAAATTGTGTATTCATTAAAATATATTTCATAAGACAATTTTATTAACTTCTAATCTTAATTTTGTATTTTTAAAATTTAATAACAAATTTAATTAAAATAATGTATATTAAGTAAATTAATAGTTTATTATTTGATGATTCTTTAACATTACTGTTCTGTATAGTGAGGGGTATATATTTTTTTTACATCCGGAATTATCAGATAAATATCAACTACTGTGTCGATTATATAGATTGCTGTTAAATTGCATCTCAAACACAATTAACACAAATAGACAGTAATATAGCATTATAATATTTTAATAGTATAACAACAAATAAAACAATGAGCTAATAATGATATCATTTATTATATAATAGGCTATAACAGCTTAAATTGCCTGTCAATCATAACGTGGTAGATGTTGTTGTGACACATGCTGTGAAACACTGAATTCCTGTCACACTTTTTGCATTATTCTGTTTCCGTCTCTAAAATATCTGTCACTCAAAGCAAAGTATATGAAGATTTGTACTAAAGTGCACTATAAGTGTCATAGACTTTGCAACGATCCTGGTACAGTATTAGTTTCTCGATCACATGTTGGCCTATTAGGGATGAATAATTTAGTGAAACCTTTTAGTATGTTGAATATACTGTATATCTAAAACAAATAATTACATTATTATTTAAATAATTTAGAAATTTCGAGATTCTATGGGTTACTCTTCACTTATATTTAAATTGAATTTTACGCTGAATAATAAATAATACTAAAGAATAATTTTCAATAATATATTTACACAAATTAAATGTTATGAATTGTATCTTTAAATGTTATTTTTTCTATATAGATTTTATTTGTATTAATTCAATTGTAAGAATTAGCATTTATATTGTATTGGATTTAAATAACATATCTCGTAAATATTAGTTATTATATAAAAAAAACTAAATTTTAAGAATTAATTAATTTAAAAGATTACACTGTAAATTATCTCGGATAATTTATCTGGGAAACTTAAAATTTGATTTAAATTTAGACCTAAACATTCACAAATTTTTACAATTGACACTTTATTTTATTGCGGAGGATGTTTACCTGTATAAAATGGGATAAAATGTACTACCATGTGGATTATTTAGGAATTTAGAGATTAAATAAGTTAATAAACAATGATTGCTCGTGTATTACAAGTACTATTAGTAATCGCCTACTCATTGGCTTTAATGACAATTTATCTAATGTTTTGATTATATAAGTAAAACATAATATTTTTTAAAAATGCGAAAACATATACTTTCTGAGAATTTATTTCTATATCAGTTTAGATGTAATCCACATATCATAAGCTAACGGAAGGTCTAAAAGTACAGTGAATTTATTAAAATTAATAATTTTGCATAAATCCCAACAACTATTTTATTTAAGTGATATTAAACATAATCTCATTAATATACTCTATAAGGCTTATTCTTGTGAGCAATAATGATCTGATAAATACACCTAGATGATAATCGGGATCAACTTTAAACGGTATCTAAACTTTGAACCACAAAAAATTACAAATTTCATTAACTACTGAAATGGGTTTCAAAGTGTGAGAATTGAATTATATGTGTATTAAAGTGCAATAAAATTTACTCACATGAAATAATATAATCAATTTTCAATCAGGAATTTGCTGTAATCTCAAACGGTATACGTTTTCACGTTTGGGCATTTCATCCTCGCGACCAAAACATGCAAATTGTTTACTATATAAGCGATTGATTTTAACAAAACAAATAACACTTCAGGTCTTGTATTCATTGATTGATTTCAAATACAATACAAACATAATGTTGAAGATTGTATTATTGCTGTCGGCGGCCGCTCTTTGTTACGGTTTGTACTCATTGTATATTTAATAATAAAATTACAATAGATTTTAATATTCTTGTATTCATATACACAGGCGTTGAGCGAACTGTTGACGATTGGTGTCGAAAAGACGGTTACATTCCCGGCACAGATCCGCACGATTACTACAAATGCGAATACGTGGCCGACCAGTGCTGGAACAGACATCTGGATCACTGTCCCGATGGCGGCACTTGGGATCAGGAACATCATACATGTATGCATACATTAATGATTACATTTTGTTTAAACATTGATTTATTAAATATTTACTTGAAATAATAGGCAAAGCAAAGCCTACGACCACCACCACTACCACAACTACAACCACCACAACCACAGCCGCTCCCACAACAACTGAAGATGAGGTGGACTTTTACTGTTCCCGAGACGGATACATGACCTATGGTTTAGATATCCATAAGTTCTATCAGTGCGAGAATATCGGACCCCATAAGTGGAGACTAACCCTTCAGCCCTGTCCTGCCGGGGCATCCGGACCATTGGTTTGGCACCAGGAGCTTAAGAGATGTGAAAATCCATAGAATTGAACAACAATTTAATGATATTGTTTTCATTTAACTATTATCCTTAGTATTAATTTTACTAAATGTGTAATTGAAAGAAAATACAACAATAAAATTGTGATTAAAATAAGCTAATTTATATCTCTTTATTGATTTATCATTATTGTATATTATTTATTTTATATACGATGTAATAAGGTAGTTGTAAAAATCTTGCTTCTATTGTAAAAATCTTGCTTCGTTATATAATATTTATTTCAAATTTTGTTCATATTTCTGGTCATTTACCAATTATCTCGATGGAAAATTCATACATGAACCGTAATGATAATGTACATACGAATTAGAATAGGCTAGGCCTATATGTCCAAAAGATTAAAAAAAGATTGAATTCCCAATGTATTGTCTATAGGAGCATACGGGCAAAGCCTACCCTTTTTGGACATCTAGGGCTAGGCCATTTGATATTCAAAATATTTACTTTATTCAAAATTTCTAAGTCTACTAATAAACTTAAACATCAAATAGTTTTAAATCACATATTTTTAATTTCAATTCAAAACGAGAATTTAATTGTATAATCACTCGGCCCTCTCCATTGGCAAATGAGATGGGATCTAGATTTAAGTTAATGATTTACTTTAACATCGGGAGAATGTTACTTTATAGCAAATTCCGGTGTTAACCCTTTACTCGTCACTAAATCAACTTCAATAATAGTTGACATTTGACTTATAACAGGTCTAATCATATTAACCTTATTATTAATTTACTTCATATAGTATTATAATTTATAATACAGAGACAAATGAGCGCTCGAAGGGTAATCTCATAGATATGTTTTCAAAAATTGTTATATTGTTAACCGAGCAAAAGTACACAGTCCATTTCTACGAATTAATTAAAACAATGAAGATTGAATAAGATAAATCAAACAACACTTTACTATATAAAGAATTGATTTAAACAAAACAAAAGACACTTTTAATTTTGTATCCATAGATCGATTTCAAATACCAGAACATAATGTTGAAGATTGTATTAGTATTGTCTGCGGTCGCCCTTTGTTACTGTTTGTACTCATTATATATTTGACCACAAAATGACTATATTTTCATATTTGTTGCATTAAATATTTATTTCAAACAATAGGCACAATGGCTGCACCGACACCCGACCCGGTGGACTTTTACTGTTCCCGAGACGGCTATATGGCCTACTCTTTAGATGTCCATAAGTTCTATCAGTGCAAGAATGTCGGACCCCATCGATGGAAACTAATCCTTCAGCCCTGCCCTGCCGGGCCTTCCGGGCCATTGGTCTGGCATCAAGAGCTCAGGAGATGTGAAAATCCATAGAATTGAACAACAATTTAATGATAATGTTTTTCTTTAATTAATATCTTTAGTATTGATTTTATTAAATGTATAATTAAAAGAAAATACAATAATAAAATTATATTGAAATTTATACGTATAATATGTACACTTATAATATGTAATATGTATACTTGTAATATGTATACTTTATATAATATATACTCTATGTTGAATTATTCTATCATTACGTATATTTTATATGAATCATCCATGTAAAGTAAGTAGCAAAACATTTTGATCCAAAAGTTATAATACTTAAAATGTTTATTATAACCAGTTGTCCATCACTTTCTGTTGAAATGAAATCCTAAATCATGTTAACTTTATTATTTGTGTACTTTACTTCATATAAGTATTATAATTAAATTATATATTATAAATTTTATAATATAAATGTAGAGACAGATAAGCACTCAAAGCGTAATCTTATAGATATGTTTTCAAAAATTGTTATATTGTTAACCGAACAAAAGTATGTGTACTTAATGTCCATTTCTATGAATTAATTAATGAAATCCTGATTGAATTCAGATAAATCAGACAACACTTTACTATATAAGCAATTGATTTAAACAAAACAAAATACACTTTTGGTTTTATATCCATTGATCGTTTCAAATACCAGAACATAATGTTGAAGATTGTATTAGTATTGTCTGCGGTCGCCCTTTGTTACGGTTTGTACTCATTATATATTTGACCAAAAATTAATAATATATTTTGATATTTGTTGCATTAAATATTTCAATAAAACAATAGTCTGGGCTACACCCGTCCCAACACCCACTCAAGATCCGGTGGACTACTACTGTACCCGAGATGGGTACATGCCCAATTTAGATGTTCATACGTACTATCAGTGCGAGAGTATTGAACCCCATAAGTGGAGAATCGTTGTAAAGCACTGTCCGGTAGGCCTCGTCTGGCATCAAGAGCTCAAGAGATGTGACTTTGAATAATTGAACAACAATTTGATAATAATATTTTCCTTCAATTATTTGTCATAGTATTAATTTTTACTAAATGTATAATTGAAAGAAAATACAACAATAAAATTGTGATTAAAATATGCATAATGCGTATACTTTATATAATGTATACTCTATGTTGAATTATTATATCATTACGTTTATTTTATATGAATCCATGTAAAGTAAGTAGCAAAACATTTCGCTTCCAAAGTTATAATACTTTAAATGTTTGTTATAACCAGTTGTCCATCACTTTCTGCTGAAATTAAATCCTAAATCATATTAACCTTATTATTGATGTACTTTACTTCATATAGTATTATAATTTATAATATATAAGACAGATAAGCACTCTTAAGTGTAATCTTATAAATACGTCTTCAAGAATTGTCATATTGTTAACCGAGCAAAAGTACACAATCCATTTCTACGAATTAATTAAAACAATCCTGATTGAATCAGATAAATCAGACAACACTTTACTATATAAGCGATTGATTTAAACAAAACAAAATACACTTTTGGTTGTATCTATTGATCGTTTCAAATACCAGAACATAATGTTGAAGATTGTATTAGTATTGTCTGCGGTCGCCCTTTGTTACGGTTTGTACTCATTATATATTTGACCACAAAATAATAATATATTTTGATATTTGTTGCATTAAATATTTCTATTTGACAATAGCCTGGGCTACACCCGTCCCAACTTCTGACCCAACTCAAGATCCGGTGGACTTTTACTGTTCCCGAGACGGATATATGCCCTATGCTTTAGATCATCACAAGTACTATCAGTGCGAGAATATTGGACCCCATCGGTGGAGACTAACACTAGAGCCCTGTCCGGTAGGCCTCGTCTGGCATCAAGAGCTCAAGAGATGTGACTTTGAATAATTGAACAACAATTTAATGATAATGTTTTCCTTCAATTATTAGTCATAGTATTAACTTTTGCTTAATGTAACATTTAAATCAAATATAACAATAAATTTTGATGAAATTATATGCATAATTTATGTGTACTTCATACATACAGTAATATAAAGTAAAGTATTTTACAATTTTTAAAATAGTTATTAACGGCTATTTTGAATAATAGATGAAAAATAAACTTGGTAATTAAATATCCACGCCATAATAAAATTATTCTTTACCTATATCTTAGCTCTCTAGTAAATGGTAACATAAGTTTAACAGTGGTTTCACTGGTTTATATAATATAAAATTATGTCTCCTTATACTTGCTGATTAAGAATAATTGATTATGCTCAAACATTTGAAAATTAATATCCGGATTGATTGAAGTGAAAATATATTAAACAACTCATACACAGCAATGCTAGACGTTAACCACAATTTGGGTGATTCTCAAAGAATAGATTAGCATTATTTACAGATTTAATACGAGTCTATAGTATTAGAATTAGTACCCATGAAGACCATAGACTAAACATTGTCCATAGGATTAACATTAGTCCCATAGATTTAACATTACAGATAGACTTAGCATTATCAATAGGATTAGCGTTAGTCGCCTAGATTTAAGGGAGTCGTAAGTGGGGCCGAACGATCCTATAAACATTACTCATAGCTTCATTGTGGTTAAAAATAGTTTAATTACGTAATAGATCCGTGGGATTACTGATATATTAATTAGCTTAAATGAAATAGGCAAAATAACCCCTTCTATAATTATTATTAATAATTTATTAATGTCTTAATAACATTGTTTATACCGTTTAATTAATAGGATAGTATCTAGTGATCTATAAGATCTCTAGTGATCGGGCCTTTCGGCCCAATTGCTACATTATCATAATGTAGGTGAATAATAATTTTAACCTTAATTGTACAAAACAAGTGCTTTCTTAGAATTTGCTTACATATCACTTAAGACATTATCAATAAAATTATTTCAATTGAAGATTGGTAATATATTAAAATTATAATTATTATACATTAATATTATAATCTTGTGTTGAAGTGGTGCTCTTCCATCAAACTTAATAATTGAAATTCTATAATAAATGATAATGTGCAGAAAATATTTACAAAAGTGTGCGAAAAACGGCATAAGTCATGATATATTATAAAACCCCTGATCTTTTAATTGCAATCATGTAATCAATTTTAAATCAGGAATTAACTGCACATAGAGTGAACAACTCTACAAAACAAATACAAAAATCAAGGATAAATTTAATAAAAATACAATATATTTAATTTCATTAAAAATAAATAAATTTAATAATAATATAGTTTTCCATCAAATCAGAGAATGTAAATAGCAAAATATTTAATATAGGAACAGATGGACGCTCTATAGGGTAATCTTATAGATATGTTTTCAGGAATTATTATATTGTCATCTGGACAAAATCACACAATCCCTTTCTATAAATTAATTAAAACAATCATGCTTGAATCAGACAATTCATATAACATTTTTGGTTTCAAATACCATAACATAATGTTGAAAATTGTATTATTGTTGTCGGCGGTGGCCTTTTGTTACGGTTTGTACTCATTATATATTTAATTACAAAATTCCAAATTCTAATTGTATTTCCATATATTCAGGCGTTGACCGAACTATTGACGACTACTGTCGTAAAGACGGCTACATTCCCGGCACAGATCCGCACGACTTTTACAAATGTGAATACGTTCCCGACCAGTGCTGGAACAGACATCTGGAGCACTGTCCCGATGGCGGCACTTGGGATCAGGAGACCAAACATTGTATGCATACATTAATCACACGTTAAAATTTAAAGTTTAAATATTAATTTCTAAAATATTGATTTGAAACGATAGGTAAAGCTAAACCCACTACACAGGCACCCACAACCAAACCCACACCAGTACCCACAACACCGACACCCGTGCCCACAACACCCACACCTAAACCGACAACACAGCCCATTCCCAGCACAACTCAGGATGACGTGGACTTTTACTGTTCCCGAGACGGATATATGCCCTATCATTTAGATATCCATAAGTTCTATCAGTGCGAGAATATCGGACCCCATAAGTGGAGACTCACTCTACAGCCCTGTCCGGGGACTGAGGTCTGGCATCAAGAGCTCAAGCGATGTGAGAACGATGTGTAAACTGAAGAGATGTGACCAAAACCTATATAATATAATTGGATGATAATTATGTTACGCCTTATAATTATAAATTAATATATAATTAGATATAAAATTGTAAATGCATTCTTGTATTCAATAATAAAGTAAATGTTGAGACTTTTATTCAATTATTAGATATACAGTGCAACCTCTCCATAAGAAACGGGCAGATGCATAGCCAAAGTGTTTCTTATAGAGAAGGTTTCTTCAAGGGAGGTTCGAGTAAAAATGTCTAATTTTTAATTAATTTTTGAAAGATTGTATTAATAATAGCAATTATTGAAAATAATCAGTAATTTTAGTTTATTAGCTGTATTAAAATGACAATTAAATGTTTTAGTCTTAATTTTGTCCAATTGTTCAAACATTTTATCATCGGATGCGTCTCTGGATATAAAATAGGAGTTTAAATGTAGTGTTGATATTGCTGTAGTACTGATATTTATGAAAATGTGTTTTTTGTTTGTTTAAAGTCTTAGGTTTGAAAATATTTTGAATACTTTACATATCATATCATAATATTTGTTTCTTATCGGGAGTAGAAGTTTTATCTTAATCTCTATAAATCCGTTTCTTATGGGGAGGTGTTTCCCCAAGAGAAGTTTCCCTAAGAGAGGTCATTTTAACATTATAAGTATAGGAAATCCAAAAGAGATTAATATCATATCATAATATTTGTTTCTTATCGGGAGTAGAAGTTTTATCTTAATCTCTATAAATCCGTTTCTTATGAAGAGGTGTTTCCCCAAGAGAAGTTTCCCCAAGAGAGGTTGCACTGTATTTTATTATCTAATTATGCAATTATTTAGAAAATTGTTTGATTAGTATAATTATTTTAAGTGTTATTAACTTTCAGTTAAATGATTATTTATCATTATGATGTAATTCCATATCCTTAATAACTAAAGTATGTAGAATATCTATTTATTCTGGGTTAAATTTGTTACATAATATTTAACAAATTGTGTATTTCAATTCAAACATTTTCAAATGTTTATTTTAGTTCAAACATTTACGCAAATGTTAATTTATTTTCATTAATTATTAATATTAACATTAAATAATTAATTTTGAAATCAATTTTTGTAAATATTACGGTATAAGTATATTCATATAATAATAATGTTCCCAATTATGCTATTCGTTGTCTCAAAGTCTCGCAGCTATATATTTATCGGAAGAACATATTTAAATAGAATGAGAGTCTGTATTAAATTGTATTTCTATTCTTAAATACCTGTACCACAAAAATGATGACAAAGAATTAAGAGGCAATCAATTAAACAAAATAATATATCAATTTTGAATCAGGAATTAACTCTAATCTTGAAGAAGATATTGAAATCTAATATTCACTGGTATTTCATCCTTTGAACCGAAGGATGCGATCACTATATAAGCCATTGATTCAAACAAATCGGACAACATTTTTGGTTTTGTATCCCAGATTTTGGTTTCAAATACCATAACATAATGTTGAAGATTGTATTATTGTTGTCGGCGGCGGCCCTTTGTTACGGTCTGTACTCCATATAAATTTAGTCATAAAAATAAAATTATAATATATAATAATTATTTAATAATTTAAAATTGTATTTCCATATATTCAGGCGCTGACCGAAGTATTGACGACTACTGTTCAAAAGACGGCTATATGCCCGGACCCGATCCCGACGACTACTACACATGTGAGAAAGTGCCCGACCAGTGCTGGAACAGACATCTGGTGCACTGTCCCGCTGGCGGCATTTGGGATCAACTCACCCACAAATGTATGCAAACATTGTTAATCACATTTTACATATTAATTCATTAAATATTGGTCGCAACAATAGGTAAACCTAAACCGACGGCCGCACCCACACCCACGCCTACGCCCAAACCCACAGTCGGCCCAACACCCGATCCGGTGGACCTCTACTGCTCCCGAGACGGCTATATGCCTGACTTCGAAGATCACCACAAGTTCTATCAGTGCGAAAACATTGGACCCCACAAGTGGAGGCTGACTATGCAAACCTGTCCCTCAGGCTATACATGGGTTCAGGAGCATAAGAGATGTGACGGACCCCCCGATGGCCGCTAAATTACTATTCATTTAAAAAGGTTTCTTATGTTGTATTAATTTTATTATTTATCATGTTTAATATATAATTTAATGCATATGTAATTGTGTAAAACACGATAATTATATAAAAATACAACCGAATATAAAATTTTACAAACTATTTTTGTATTCAATAAAAACCTAAGCTATTAATTCATTCAACAAGCCTGTTTTTTATCTCATTAATTTATTATTTAGCGTAATGTGTGATTAATGTAAGTATTTTAAGTGTTGTTTACTTTCATTAACTTATTAATTATCAACTCATTGCTAAATGTCTAATATTATATCTACAATATTATTATAAAATGAATGAACAATTAATTGAGATTTGTTAAGAAAAGGTAAAATATGTAGTTTTATTAAGAGAAACAATCAGTTAATTGAAATAATGTAATCACTGTTGGATCAGGAATTAACTGCAATCTTATAATAGATATATTTTCAAGTATTAGGATTTTGTCCCTAAAACGGATTCATGCTTTAGGAGAATTCACTATTTAAGCGATTGATTCAAACAAATTAAACAATACATTTGGTTTTGTATCCATAATTTGGTTTCAAATACCATAACATAATGTTGAAGATTGTATTATTATTGTCGGCGGCGGCCCTTTGTTACGGTCTGTACTCATAATAAGTTTAACAATACAATTACAATATGTTATAATTTCTAATTGTATTTCTATATATCCAGGCGTTGACCGAACTATTGACGACTACTGTCGAAAGGACGGCTACATTCCCGGCACAGATCCGCACGATTACTACAAATGTGAATACGTGGCCGACCAGTGCTGGAACAGACATCTCGAGCACTGTCCCGATGGCGGCACTTGGGATCAGTTCACCCATCATTGTATGCATACATTTCGCTAAAATTTTACGTATAAATTAATTAATTGAACATTGATTTGAACCAAAAGGCAAGCCTAAACCGACGCCCGCGCCCACACCAAAACCCACGCCCGCGCCGACAACCAAACCGACATCACCGCCGACTCCTAAGCCTACACCAGCGCCAACACCGGCGCCCACAACCGAAGACCCGGTGCAATACTACTGCTCCCGAGACGGCTATATGCCTGACTTCGAAGACCACCACAAGTTCTATCAGTGCGAAAACATTGGGCCCAATAAGTGGAGACTGACTTTGCAAACCTGTCCCTCAGGTTATACATGGGTTCAGGAGCACAAGAAGTGTGACGGACCCCCAGATGGCCTCTAAAAACCGCAACCACTTTAATAAAACAACTTTTGTGTAATAATTAATATTGTTATTAAATACTAATGTACTGTATTTTGTATTTGTTACGTATAATAATTACCTATATAGAAACACAATATTAAATATAAACTTATAAATATCTTTTTTTGCATTCAATAAAAATCTAATAAATTAATTCATTTATTTTAAATCCGCTTTTCTATCGCATTATTTAGCGTAACATTTGATTTGTATAACTATTTCGAGTGTTATTTACTTTCAATTCAATAAATATTTTGTAATATCTATTCAATTATCATTTTTAGAGTGGTTTTTGCTATTATTTTTGACTTTTAATCTAATTATAAGTTAAACAATAAGTAGATTAATATAAGTGGGAAAAGAGGTCTAGGAT